AGTATGAAGTTTAGCCGCTTCACAAAGTTTGGACTTGACTTTTATGTGCTCGTTGAAGGATAGGGACACAAGGCTAGTAAAATACGGTGTCAAGCTTGGAACAAAGAAGTACTTAGAGCTTATGTGTATATTATCTTCATGTATTCATATGAATTGCAAGGGTTCAATCCTTAGAGACACCCCGAAATTCGAATATTTGGAATGTGTAATATACTAAGATGAAAATTCAATCGTCGCGACATTTTCATTTATGCATAAGTTTGTTGAATCTTTTATCTCAGAAAGTAAGTCATGGATTACACTAAAATAGGGGAGGATTGTTGGTGATTTTAGTGTCATCAATTTATTTTGTGTAATTGGATTTACTTTGATCGGACAAGAATTTAAATAGACGTTGTCAAACGAGTTAGGAGGCGCGGAGTGCGCGCTCGTTCAACGATATTATAAATTCACTGCGGGGTCCGGGGGCGGCAACCCCTGGGTAGCGGGGTCCAAGGGGCGGCAGCCCCTGGCGGGGTCCAAGGGGCAGAGCCCCTGGCCGGGCCGCAGGAGACCTTTCGTTCAAACTCGCACCTTTCTTCTTCTTGCGCGAACGTACGCGTACATCTACGCGAATGTTCATGTCCGATCACAAGGATTTTCGACTCTATAAAATAGAGTCTCGTGGTATGGGTTGAAAATAGATTCTCGAGTGTTTGTTCTGAATTAATGTCTTATCCGATTGAAGTATTTCGTATACCCCGAAATAACTTTGATCTGAAAGCGTTTCGTACGCGATTCGTTATTCTATCGAGTTCTTCGTTTAACACTGCTTCGCAGTGTTTATTCATCTGATAAATCCAACACTATCTTGTAACACAGACAAAAATTATCTAACAATTACAAAGTATGTTTTGGGGGGAAGGTTCAATTCCCATGACATTGAACCAATTACAAAGTATGTCATGGCACAAATTATCTAACAATTACAAAGTATGTCATGGGAACCAATGTCATGGGATGACCCGGGGGCGCTCCGGTGCCCCGTTCGTAAAATTGATGGTTCCTACCCTCTAACCTCCCGGTAAACTCCCCCACCCCGCCCCGACCCGAACACACCCTCCACCCCCTTCAATTGCACCGCACGAGTTGATTTTGACTTTGGAATGCAATTGAAGGAGGGTGGGAGTGTGTTTGGATCGGAGCGGGGTGGGGGGTTTACCGGGGAGTAGGAACCGTCAATTTTACGAACGAGGCACCGGAGCGCCCCCGGGTGATTCCATGACATTGGAACCTTCCCCATGTTTTGGATATAACACCTGAATATGGGCATAAGCAAAGAACATGGGGGGTTGAGTGACAAAATTATGACTCTTATAAATGAAAAGTCACATATTTTAACTCCATTGTTAATATTGATTATTTGTGCTCTCACAAATTATATTATACATCCGGTGATATCCAATTTTGGGTACAACTAAGAAATTATTTATGGTATGGATTTTATTTTGAATGAGAATGAACAATAAATTATTTGAGAATGGGTACTGTTTTGTTTTAGAATGAGCATTACATTATTTGTAGATGAATATTATAATTATATTGGACCAATGTGTGAAAATGAGTAACACATTATTTTAGAATGAGTACCACGCTAATTATATTTGTGCAAAAATGAGTACTACTCTACTTCAGAATGAGTACTACCCGGATGTACCGTACATCCGGTTGTACCATATACCTTCTCTATTTTGTCCTACACCTTAATTCCAGGTCTTAATATTATGCCCAAATCCGCTTAAAAATGATCAAGTCTTTGGGCCTACATGGAAGCCCATGTCCACTAACGATATTCTGAAGTCATTGGCCGTGTCTTGGCAGGCCATCATTATTCGGGCACAAATCTTTAAAGCATGGGCCATATTGTAAAAAGAAAAATCGAAGATTGGCCCACGAAGGATCATACAACTAATCTTGAAAATATGGGCCTTGTCGTGAAGTTCTAGAAAAATCAAAGAATGGCCCACTAAGGATCTTACAAATAGTCCTCAACACCCCACCCCCCACCCAACCAATCCCACCCTCAAATTCTTCAATGTGCAAAGATCGTTCGTCACCGAGTCAGTGATTCGAAGAAGAATAAGAAGAAGGAGATTCAGCTTCAAAATTCTTCCAGTAAATCTTTAGATTCTGCAATCTCCCAAATCCGGGTCAGTTTCAGAATGATTTTGATTTTCTTTTTTGAAATTTCAATCGTCTTCTGCATCGATCTGTTGTTTTTGTTCTTTTTCTTTTCTAACGTTGATCGTTTTCTTAAAAGAACTGTTCTGGGTATTGGGTTTCTGGATCGTTCTTAGGACTGTTTGGGGAAGATCTGGCGTTGTTGAGGATGTTTTAACATTTGGATCTTTAAGATTTGTGCTCGGTGAAACATGTTATGAACAAAACTTGTGGAATAATTGATTGGGTATATGTTTTTGTGTGTGTTTGTGTGTTAGGGGTTTAGTAAATCCTCTCAGATTATTCTCCTTCCTTCTTTTTCTAATTTTCGTATTTCTGAATATATTTTTGTTGTTCGTTTGATAAAATAATATTCTCATATCCTCTCTTTACCCGTAGAGTTTTTAGTCTAGTTCTTAAATATATACGTATTACCTTTTTTTTGAAAAAATTACACTAATATTTAAATAAATAGAATTGAAATCAAACATCATCGTCTGAAATCGAAGATTATTTAGGGACGGAGTATATAATCTAGTCATGTCTTTTGTTCTAGAGAATAGGGCTCCGTTTGGTAGCCTTGATCAGATTATTCTGCTGATCAGACGAACTACTAGTAGTCGTTTCTGGTTTGTTTGTTTGTTTGTTTGGATATAATAGATGTTACCAAGCGCTGTTGGTAATCTGTCTTTCTTTGTAACAAAAAAAAGACCTTTCAACTGAGGTCACTTGTTCATATGGACAAGGATCTAGGATCTGATATGTTGTACAAGTTAATTGCACTTCTTTCTTTCTTTCTTTGCTGATAGTGTCAAGTCTCTCTTTCTCTCTGCTTTTATTTTGGTTGTGATGATGTGTTTGAGCCGGGGGTCTCTTAGAAACGGCCTCTCTACTTCCCTTCCTACTTTCCATTGTGAGATTTTTCTTGGTTTTTGTAAAGGGAGGGCGGGCATTATGGCCAAGAAATAATACTCCCTCTGTCCCATAAATAGAGCCATGTCTTACAAAGATAGAGCTTTTAAATTGTCTTAAGATACAACTATGGGTATTAGTCATCAAATGTTTAACTACACTTTCCACACAACTTTTTTAAATATGTTGAAAAATGTAAAATACGATGCACGCTAACTTCTTTTGTTCAAACATGACTTCTTTTGGGGGAGCAAATTTTAGTTTTTCAAACATGACTTGTTTGGAAATGCAGTTGCAAAAGATATGGATCACAATGACACTGGATGCCACGCCGCCCCTCATGAAGGCCCAATTTTGTGTGTCAAAGGCTGCGGTTTCTTTGGAAGCGCAGCAAACATGAACATGTGCTCCAAATGCTACAAGGATATGGTGCTGAAACAAGAGCAAGCCAGGCTCGCGGCATCATCAATTGAAAATCTTGTTAACGGACAACCTCTTGTCGTTGCTAATAACAATGCAGATGCGCTTGTCACTTCAGTTGAAGCAATGGAAGTTTCCATCCCCTCCTCCCTTGCTTCGAGCTCTGGTGAGTCCGTTGAAGTCAAGGCAAAGGTGGGTCCCACCCGTTGCGCTGCGTGCAATAAACGGGTCGGCCTGACCGGGTTCGAATGCCGCTGCGGGAGCATTTTTTGTGGGTCCCACCGCTACTCGGAGAAACACGACTGCCTCTTTGACTATCGCGCTGCTGCCAGGGATGCGATAGCAAAGGCGAATCCCGTCATCAAGGCTGAAAAGCTGGATAAGATCTAGACATGCTTTTGTTATGTTTGTCACAGTTGCTCATGATGCTTATTGGCAAGACTCTGTTTATTGGCATTTGTTTCCAGGTTCATATATATTGGCAATTTGGCATATTGTTGTGCACATAAATATGCATTTTAGTAAAGTCATTTTGCGTCAATTATTTGCAACTTGTTCTAAAATTTATTTCAATAAGTTTGAAACATGAAGTTTGGTTGGTGGACTTGGTCCTAATAACTTGAACCCGAATTGGGCCCCATTTTATGAAGTTGGATTTTTACCCCGAAGATGTTGGCCCGAACTTTGTTCAGATTGGCACCGATTCACGCGCAATCCAAACTTTGTTCGGGTTGGATCGGGCAAGTTGGATTTTCGGTACCTTTGTGTTGGGCACTTGGTCATGGTGGCTCAACTGCACTTCTTGGAAGCTTTAACCATAAATAGCATTATATTGTTTTGAATGGTGTTGCATTTAGTTTCTCAAAAGGGAAGTTTCGCTCTATCCTTTCGTTTGAATCTTATATCGGTTTGCGTTTACACCGTGCCGGAAAAATCAAACAATTATAATTTACTAAAATTTTAAGTTTGACATCACGGATGACAACCGTTTACAAAAGTGTTCTTGCAAACACTGCAATTGAATGGTTTGCGGAGGTTGTACAGTTAGAAGGACCATGCTAGGGTACCACCACATGGGTGCACGCATGTTAGCACCCATGTGGTGGTACCCTTGCATTTTCCCAGTTAGAATGAATGAATTTACCTACAATTGTCGTTTGTGGTGTCATTTGGTGGATTTACTTGGTGGGAAGATTTTATCTCGGTAATTGTAATCGGTTTGGTTCTACAACCACTCCTTTGTATTATGACATCTATGGACTACGGTGTTTCATTCGTAAAATTGGTATTTTGAATTGAAAAATAACTAAATTTATACGCGATATTGACATGGGTGGGGGAATGTGTTGGGGCCAGAACTGAATGGGAGACAGGGGTTAGGGGGAGTATGAAGTATATGTTCTAATTGAGTCGGTAACTTTTATCAAATGATACCTTGTAGTATTGTTGAGTTTGATTTTATTTGTTTAGTTTAATTTTATGAGTCTAAATGGAATGTTTCTTTATTGAATTAAATAAAATTTATATTGCATATTAGCACAGAAATGATTTAAATAGATTTATTTTACATAAAACTCACAAAAGTTTATTCAATGCATTTGTATGCAAAACAATTTTTATATAGAGTTGGTACTCCGTGTTTTTAAGGTACACATGTAAAATGTGGATTTTCTCACACTTTTCAAATGATGATAAGTGGATTTTTTTGCAAAAAAAACTCATTTTTACGGTATTAATGCACTAATGTCTATAAAATAAATAAATGATCATAAACCTTAAGAGCACGTAATAATTTATCTTTTATATAATTTATGATTAGTTTTATTTAGTTTGACTCAAAAATAAAATAAAATGAACAAATATCTATATTAGGGACAAACAGAGTAATAATTTAAACACAGTAGCTATTCTCCTTTGGCTTTAGCGGTAAGAAACTCATTTTCGAAATTTATGAAAAAGTTTACCCATATTCAAACTTCATCCCGAAGGTAAAACAATAGCTTATTGTGCGTTATTACATTGAGAAAAATTATGAACGAATATTACATTTGTTATGGAGTCCATTAAACAACACAGTACGGTAAAAGGTCTTACACCTTTATTAAACCTCGTTTTTCCTTTCATATGTTATACTGTAAATGGTTTAATATCGCAGTGACAGTACAGCAAACAATTAAACTGCCCATTTACGGAGTATAAACTACTCCATCCGTCCCAAAATATTTACATTTATTTTTTCAGCAGTCGCGGGAACTTTTGTTTACTTCTACCTTTTCATTGGTTATTTGATAAAATAAAATATTCTTGACACTTCTTATTTCGAAGAACTTTTCAAACAGTTTTTTGATATGTAAATTTTATTTTTTATTTCTATACCAATATGTAAATAAAATGAATCGAAAAAACTTGATATTTTATCTCGAGAATACAAGTGTGACAAATATTTAGAGACGAGGAGAGTATGAAGTTTAATATGAATACTCCATACATTTTTTTCATTTAAATTTTCATAATCTTTGATACAATATCTTTTTTACCTGTAATATTTTTCTTTCTACATATTATGTAGATACGTATAGTAAAAAACTAAAAATTTGATAATTCAAAAACAAAATTCAAAATGAGAACATTGATATTAAATTCACTGGGTATATTATAATTCAATATATTTTTTCACATATATGGATCAAAGTTCACCAATATTGATTAAAGAAAGTCAAATTAGAAGATAATATCGAGAGACGGAAGAAGTGCTATCTCCTTCTAAACCTAAACCTTCCACTTTGATTTTCACAAGATAAAGAAATTTGAAATTTATAATTGAAATTTTTGTATCCGGTAAAAGAGAGAAATAATGTGAAGCACTCTATAATTACGTACTTTAAAAGTATCGAGTACTATACGTAAGAAGTTTGTTTTGGGACAAACTAAATATCTGGAATTTATTTTGGGACAAATATATATATGGTATATATCAGGAGCCATATTTACGCTATATATTGCCTCCTTCCTGAAATAAACTTCATGTTTATTTGAACTTCTCCACTAGTTTGAGTGGTAGAAAACCCATTTCACAGGATTCATAGGAAAGTTCACCCAGGTTCGTGCTCCAGTAGAGGCGTTGGCTTTTTGTACGTCATTAAGTAGAAAAATACATGACAAAATATTGCATTGTAAAAGAGTCAATAGCATTTTAAAAAACGTCATGTTTTAACTTTACGTAATTAAATATTGAGCAATCCCTCTATCCCAGATATTTTGTTACATTACCCAAAATGAAACAAAATTTTAAGTTTTTTCAGTTTATTTTATTGAAAGATAGTTATAGAAATAGAAAAATAAAACTTATATATTTAAAAAAACATGTTAAAAGTTCTTCAAAACAACAGCCGACAATAATATTTTATTTTTTCCAAATAATCAGTGAAAACGTACAAATAAAACAAAAACAGATTCTTTTGTGGTCATTAATTAGCTCAATGCTTATTATATGAACTTTGACACATAAAATGATTAGGGCGCGACTCTTTTCATTTTTGAAAAGTTTTATGAGACTGGATCGGAGGAAGTATGTGAGAAGGCCCACATTTCACTTATTTCCTTAGAATCGCGATAGCCCAACTCATAAACAAGAATTTTGCGACTTTTGAATAGTGAAGTAAGACATTCTTTTTGGACGAAGAGAGCAATTGATTACATTGCTTAATACTCTTAGAAAAAAGAAGAAATATGAATTTAGAAATGGAAAGTGCGAAATTGGTTTGGGACGTAGAATGTGTGTGTCTGCAGTATGTATGTGTGTGCGCGCATATATACACACACACACACACATATATATATATCTGTGTGTGTGTGGGAGCATCTAAAATGACATCAGTTACTTATACACCAGTTTGTTTGGGTTACCTACGGTGCTCCGTTTGTAAAAACGACGGTTTCAACTCTCCTAACCCCCCCTATACCCCCCCCCCCCTATACCCCCCTCCCGCCCCCCTCCCTACCCTGTAGTATACTGCAAGGGTAGGGAGGTGGGGCTGGGGTGTGGGGTTTGTGAGGAGGGTTAGGAGGGTAGAATCATCGTTTTTACAAACGGAATACCGTAGGTAACTCAAACAAACTGGTGTAAGCAAATAACACCAGTAGTACTGGTGTCATTTTAGACTTACCGTGTGTGTGTGTGTGTGTGTATATATATATATATATATATATATATATA